TGGATATTTAGATGCTAAATACTGGGGAAAATATGATTGACAAGAATTGTTTGAATGCTACAAAGAAATTGAACTTAAACAAGATTTATGAAAATAAGATATATGGTGAATCAATAAGATGACTCTTACAAAAATAACATAAGCTGATAAGAAAAAAATGCTATATATGGATACTACTATTGTTGGTATAAATATAGACAAAATGTTTTTATTTAATCATTTAAATATGGAAAATATCAAATACTAGAAATTATATTTGTTTAATGTTGGCAGAAAGGAGAATACTAGAAGAGAAGATCAAGGAAATATTAATTGATATACTAATTACGGAAATATAAAAATTAATTATTGATTATTTATTAACTATTAACTGTATATTCTTTTCTAAAAAAATTATGAACCAAGACAACATACTGTACACAAGGCACTAAGGTTGTTATTGTGAAAAACCAATAAAACTTTTACAAAAAAATAATAATTGTATAATGTGTCTCTTATATATTTTGCAATGGAAATTTCTGTAAAATTATATATGGCCAATGAATAGTGCTGAATACACTACAGACTAGGTGTGTTTCCTCAGCTTCATTTTTGCAGTCTTTTTAGAGCAGAGGTGGGGAACTATGGCCCCTTTATGATTTATGGCTGGCTCAGGAATTCTGGGAGTTGAAGTCCACAAGTCATAAAAGCCTTAGTTCCCCACCACTGCTTTAAATTGATTAAAAATCATGCAAACAAATTCAGTAATGCTGGGTTTTTTGTTTGTTTGTTTGTTTTTGGAAGGCCAGGTCTGGTAACCCAAGTGAAAACAGAATTTTAACATAAAATAGAGATGGGATACAACAAACTTTAAGCTAATAGTATAGTGGAGTTTTTTGTAATATTTTATTGATTTTCTAATTTTACATTTAAGTATTTAAAAAGCAACATGGTAGCTGGGTTAATTAATAATTCAATAATATACAAAATTTTTTAGTACAAATCTCAAACTACCACATCAAATATTTCCTCTCCTTTTCCCTTAATATCTGCTGTCTCATATTTAAACTAATACAATTCTTATTATATCCCTGTGGTGGCGAACCTATGGCATGTGTGCCATAGGTGGCATGCAGAACCCTCTCTGCGGGCATACATGCCATTGCCCCAGTCCTAGGCCTTCAGCTGGGTTTTTAAAAAAACCCTTTTTGCGTTAGGCCTCTGCCACTGTGTGCAAAAAAAAAAAGGTTCAATCAATCAATCAATTTCAACTTCTCGCTGAAAAAAAAAAGATCTCACAAAGTTGGTTTTAATTGATTGAACTTTTTAGTCCCACTCAGTCTGCCGTTACCTTCGCAGCCACGCCTACCCAAGGGTCATGCCCACCCAGTTGGCCATGCCCCTGGCACCTGACAATACATAAGTGGGTTTTGGGTTGCAATTTGGGCACTCGGTCTCTAAAAGGTTCGCCATCACTGTTATATTCATTAAGTAAAGATAGCGTTGTTACATTTATCAATACATTTTTAGCTTATACATAACCTACTAACTTTAACATTCAATTTTTATAAACAGTCAATGTCCTGTAGTTAGTTTTTCCCAATTTTTAGTTTCCTGTCAATATTTAAATTTAACATTTGATATTTATAATTTCCAAATTTTTGGTAACCAAATTTTCCTTTATACAATTCTTAACAAAGTCTAATATTCAAAATACACATCTTATCTATTTGAGTATATTCTATTTCCCACCATCTTACATCATCTAACTAATAATACAATATAACTGTCAAGCCCCCAAAGGCTTGCCATGCAATCGGGGACAGGGGAGAGCAAACGACAGCCCACCAACCACGAAGGCTGCCGAGCCACACACCGCCACGACTCACGACCGAACCGGGCAGGCCTATACCTGTGACACGCCTCTATGAGCCAGCGTGCAAACGCCGACGAGCACCGGGCCGTTAATGGGTCCAGAAGCACTCAAGGTCCGCTTCCTGCAGGCAAGCTCGGGATTCCCCGAACATCAGCTGTTGCCGATAAGCCCGGGATTCCCCGAGCGTCAGCTGTTGCCAGCGAGTCGGATGACGGCGGCCGTATCCTCACAGAGCAAGAACACGATGCCTCTGCAGACGAACCCAGCGTGGGCAAGAGATGGGGGAGGTTCATCCAACGAGCAGGTCATTAGGCAGGGAGAGTTTGGCAGCGGGCAGCTGATGCGTGGACCAGACGCACGGACCAAGGGACGCGGGGGCGGGATTCCGTCGGGGAAAGGAAGAGCACAGGGAAAGGGTGGGGCATATATTCAATTTGAACGGATGTTGGTTTGGGAGTGGGGGCGGGAGCACAGGGTGGGGCACATGGATATAATGCACTGGGAGAAAACCACTCCCAGTGCTGACTTTGTCTCAGCTACACAATAAAACAGTTAATGAGTCTCAGTGTGTACCGGCGTTCCTTTTGATCTTACCTACGGACGACAGCGGATTCATTGAAAATAACATTTCTTATTTTCAACTAGTTTCCAAATGTCTTAAATTTAATGACCAAAATTTCTCCATCAAATCAACATCAACATCAAATATTTTCTCTTTTTCTCTTGATATCCTATCTCATATTTAAGCTAATATAGTTCTTATTATCTCAATTAAATACAAACATATTTATTACATTTATCAATAAATTTTAGCTTATTACATATCTTAATTACTTTTACATTCAATCTTTATAAACAATCACTATCCTATTTATTTGTTTTCCCCAATTTTTAATTTTCCATCAATATTCAAATTCAACTTTTAGTATTTATACTTCCAAGTTTTAAATGACCAGTTTTCTTTATCTCAATTCATAACAAAATCTGATAATCAAAGTACAGATCTTGTCTATTTAAGTATATTCTATTTTAATTAGTAATATAAAATCCTCGCTGATAAATCAAAACCCCAGTTTTCTTCAGCCTTATTCTAGCTTTCCTCCTTTGCCATCTCGCCCTTCATGTTAGTGCTTTTAGGTCATCAAATAGATCTCCCTCTGTTATTATATATATTATTTGGAATAAAAGAGACTATCCAGTCACCATTTTTTTGGGAAGGGCTAATAAATCGTCTCTCTATTTTGCCAGATCCCCATAATAGTCCTGGTATGCTTATCTTCCCTTCAGTCTGTTCTTCTTTTTGCTCCTCAAGTTTCTTCTGATTTATATAGAAAGACTTTTCTATTTTCAATGTTGTCAGTCCTTTTTCTGGACTTTCCATTGACTGTATTTGTTGGTCAGTTGAATCCTCTGTCATACTATTTAATTGTTCCACTTCTTTTGTTATGTTTTGTGTAGTTGATTCTTTAATTGTAGTCAAAATTTGAGTTCGTATATCTAGGCTGACATCTTGTTCTTTTCTGTAGCATCTTATTTCATCAGAAGCTGAAAGAATGATTTCATGTATTGCTTTTAACATAAGGAGAATCTGTTCCTGGTCTTCATCCATATTCTCGGAGAGCTTTAAAGTCGTATAATGAAAATAATTTTATAACTGAGTATAGAACACAGCTAAGCTTCTCACAGCTGATAATTGTCAAGGTTGAAAAAGTCTTATCTGTAGTCTGAATTTCCAGCCAAGTCTCCTTTAGACAATAACAAGTTGTAATATCAAACTTAGCCACAAGATGTTGCCAATGCCATTTAAAGTTTTTTAAGTCCAAATTTTTTATAATCCTTTTTCCAATGTTATTTTTTTTTTGTAAATAAAAAAGGTCTTCTATAAGAATAAGAAATCTTTTGGTCCCCAAATTCTAGAAGCATATAAATTCAGTTAGATTAAGGTTATTCTTTCAGTGTTTTAATTCCCCTGAATAGTCAGTCGCAGCTATTCTTAGAGGGTGGGATAAAAGTTCCCTTTCCTCTCTCCTCACAGGGGGGAAGATACTTTGGACAGATTTTGCAGGAGAAAAAAAATACTTGGAATTAAAGAGAGGTTCAGATCTCACCCAGTCTCATCTATGTTGCTTTGGAGTGCCTGATAGTAAGTTTGACCTCGATTGTCTGAAGCCTAGTGGTGAGCCATATTTCTATGGCCAGTTTGGAGGAATGCCCCGGATCAAGTGGAAGGGCTACTGCCCTCCCATGATCAAGCAGGGATCCCCTCCTTGCTGGTCACCCCTACAGGGTGACTTTCAATCCTTTCCAGGGTCTCCCAGCAGTGCGAAATCGAACACAGAAAATGAAGCTCACCTAGCAGCCGCAGCGGCCGTGATGGCAAACCGGAAGTCTAAGCTAGTAGTATAGTTGTTCATTCAAGACACTATCTCTTTGCTAAAATTAGAAATATTTCCCACCATTTGTAACTTTTTACAAAATTACAGCATTCATAGCTTTCTTTGATGGTGGCCATAAAAGACTAAATTGAATTTCATAATTTTCAGTTGTTGTGCAGGGATATAAGTATTGCTGAAAAAAACCCTTTCCTCAAAGAGTTAAATGGCATGGATATTTTTTTCATTTTTTTTTCAATATAGAAGACATTGCTGTTCAAAGGGTTACTCAAAATCTCCAGGGCAATTCTTGAAAGAACTGTACAAAATGAGTGTTCTTCTAAATCTCTGCTATTGTTTAAAGAAACAAAAATCTTACCTATTCTGGCTCTCAATTCTTCCCATGTAGAGTTCATATTCTCTAAGAAAGAACTTAAGGAAATGTTCATCAGAGATCAAAGATATGCTGCTTTTCCTTTGGCCTACTTAGTTTGGCCAAATAAGCTGAAAGATTGCTCAGCAAAATTGCTCAAAAAGTATTTAGTACACATCTGTGAATTCTGTTTGAATCTTTCACAAGACACTGCAGAAATACACTGCTCTGAAGTGCCCTGGTTGTAGTTCTGATTGTGGGACTAGCATATTTCCAAAGTTATTCAAAGATAGTCCCATAAGCAGCACAGTGACCTAGAAGTGAAGACACTCGCCTCCCACTATGAAGGTTGAGCTTTCAATCCTAGGCAGCAACTATCCTATCAGGGCACAAAGAGAAACTATCTGCTGAGAACTCTGTCTAGGCATCCAGCCAATGAATGCACAGCTCCATTCAGTCTCCCTAACTCCACCCTGAATAAAGAGATTAAAAAACCCCAGATAGTCCCATGCAAAACATGGTATTCAATCAAAGGCAATCTGCTCATATAGCATACCATTAGAATTCCTTCCATGGCCTGGCAAGCCCAGCCCTGCAAGTGGCCTTCCAATCTAGCCACTTCTTGATAAACAGCTTGTCGCATGGTCTGCATCCGTTGCCTTACATCTCTGTGGAACATGTCACAGAGACAAGAGAGAAAGTAGCAGCACAATTCTCAACAAAGCACCGGGTGCTTAATCTAATCACAATGCAAAGGTAAAAAAACTGTTGGCCAAAATATAATACAACATCTTGATCTAATTAATTTATTGCATTTGGGAGCAGTATGGGATCATGCCACTTGGCCAAAAGAATCAGAGTTGCAACATTTAACTTCAACAGATGATTATGCCCAGCTAACATTAACTACTGAGATTTTTGTAAATGAAAAACTAACAAATGTTTTTAATCTTGTTGAATACTGAATTCCTCCCCCTCCCACACAATCAAATCATTGGAGAGATGTAGTAGTGGCAGATCCAAGTGGGAAAGAAGGTAAAACGTATCTCACTTGCTATTATGCCATAATGATTTTTGTTTACAGACTATTCTGTTGTGAACATTTATACATTATTTTAAAGATACTGTAGCTCTTACTGTCCTCTACAATGCAGAGGGCAGACATATATTGTTGGGGAACTATAAAAGCACAACAAATGTGCAACGTGCAATAAAATGATAACGACATGTACATGTGATGTCATTACAGTCCCTCTTTCAACAGAATATTGGGAAATAAAGCTTCTTGTTCTGCTACGTGCTGCTCAATTTCATCCAGCTTTTCTTGAAACTTCCGGCATGAGTTTTTCATAACTTCAATTTCATGGACTGTACACTAAATACAATACCAAAAAGAAACAACATAATATGTATTTACAATAGAAGAGTTAAGTGGTAGACAAGCTTATTTTGAGCAGTTACTACAAGAAATTTCTTAGTCTTTGGCAGAATAAACTTGAAGACTTTTCAGGAAAAATGTAAGAATATGGGGAACTTATGACTATCCATGTATTACTAAATTACAATAAGAATTTGGTTAGCACGGCCAATGGTGGGGAATAATAAATATTCTGATTTAATAGTAATCTGCTGAAACTAATGCAATATAGCTAAACCAACAAGTATTCTCTTCTCATTTATGGAAACTCTCCAAAAATCAATCAAATCAATTAATCAATTAGAATAGAACTGGAAGGGACCTTGGAGGTCTTCTAGTTCAACCCCCTACTCAAGTAGGAGACCCTATACCATTTCACACAAGTGAGTTTCCAGCCTCTTCTTAAAAACCTCCAGTGATGAAGCACCCATAACTTTTGAAGGCAAAAGCTATTCCACTGGTTAATTGTCCTCACTGTCAGGTTGCTTCTTTCCTTGATTAGTTTCCATCCATTGTTTCTTGTCCTGTCCTCTGGTGCTTTGGAAAATAAATTGACCCTCTCCTTTGTGGCAGCTTCTCAAATACTGGAATACTGCTATTATGCCCCCCCCCCCAATCCTTATTTTCTCATGCAATCTCAGTATGAGTGTCTCACTCTGGGTACTAATATCTGTTTTAATTTATTGCCAATTCTCATTTCTACCCCTATTGTAAACTGTGGGGATTTTCTTTATTATTATTTCCTTATTATATTCTGGATATTAGGATATTATAGGGCATTCAGGATATTATATCCTGAAATCATATGTTCATAGTTCTAAACAAGAGGCACATATATACAACACCCAATTTTTAGGGTTTTTTTTAAGTCATAGCACTACACATTTGGAAGATGAGTAGAAAAAAATTAATATTTCATTTGAATTGTTTTATTTACTGAAATTATTGAATGAAGTGTCATTTTAAGTGGGGGAAAAGAGAAAAAAGTGGGGGGAAATATTTCTGCTTTCCACAAATATTTTTTAAAAATGGAAAAATACACCAGGACCATATACTTAAAAAAAAAAAAATACAATTACTTATAAGTGATTTATGAAACACTGCCATCTTGTGGCAAAAATCAGAAGTGTAGCAGCATCTGTGACAAATGCTTAATGCCTGTTAATAAAAATTATTAATTGGAAAAGGTGCTATCAGACTTCTTTTTACCACTCTAAACTAACATGGGTCTCTTTCTACAATGCCATCTTGTGGACATTTTGGTTAATCCCCCAAAGTTATAACCTAAAAATAATGTATTAAAAATAGTTCTGAGAAATCCATCTCTCTTCCCTAGATAAGTGACAGCATGGACATTGGACTTCCTGAGTTACAATTTGGTTTTCAAATATTAATGTTGATTTAAATTCTTTTAGACTCTCCATGAGTCATGATTATGTAGAGACTGTAAACACACTATCTGAATTTGCCTCCTTTCTGTAGAAAAAAATATATATTCTATACTCATTGAACACAGAAAAAGAGGTAGGATCACACCCACTGACTCTACAGCCAATTTCTGTGTGATCAACCAAGCTTTAACCAGAATCTAATGCATGTCAATGAATTGCATATGGGTAGCTTACACAACTTGTAATTCAGAAAAAAAGCAGAATTTCCAATCATACAAAAACAATAACAATATTCAGGTAGATATTGTAGATTTGAATATTCTGTGTTCAGGTTTATAGAAGGAACACGGAAAATAATCTCATTCTCTGTTTTCCAATTAGTCTATGGAATGTTTGAATAAGATAACAGAAGTTAATTAATTTTGCTGAGCAAGAAAGCCTTCCCATCTGTTGAAAAAGGGCAGCAAATTGGGAATCCCCAGCTAAAAAGTATGTTGGGCAGCAAATGATGAAAGAGATTTCCCTCTATTTCCCTATAGAGTTGCACCATTTAGAGTAGAGAGTAGCACTGAACTTGGCGGGCAGCATTGAACTTAGTGGAGGCATGTTTCCATACAATAGAATTGCAAAATTGGATGAAGAAACTTTAGGGCTCATTAAATTCAATGCCCTGGTCAATGCAAGTTCTGCAATATATCTCACCAGTGGCTGTCTAGCCTCTGCTTTAATAACAATGGTCAAAAAAGTCCAGCACTTCCCTAGCATTCTATTCCAGTGTTGACCAGTTCTCAACATTTCTCCTAATATTTACCTGACATTTTTCCCTTACCATTATCACCCAAGCAAATTAGTTTTGTTCTCCAGAGTCATAAAACGTAGTTCTGACTGCATAGAAACATTCAGATAACTGAAGACAGCTAATTGTTTTTCTTGACCTTATTTCTTACAGCTAAACATAAAGAACATTTTCCCCAACCATTCCTCATACAGCTTTCAGTTCTTCTACCATTCCGGCTGCTGTTCATAAATAATTTGGGGTTCGCTGTTATTTCAGACATCTAACCTGATTGCCAGCAGAACACAATTTTTTTTTCATCAGAGAAACAAAATACTAACCAGTTATTACATTTCCTTTAGCGATACTCACAGAAGAGATGTTTCTCACTGCTGAGCCTTGCAACAATCTGAGAGTTTTCCAAAGCTGCAGCTCTATAGGGCTGCAAGAAGACCAGCACACTGTGGGGAATTTGCATGTTGCAGCTAAAGGGAAAGATCTCATAAAGCAACAGTGGTGGGAGTTCAAAGAGCAACAGTGAGCCATTGGATGGGTACACCAAGTATTCAAAGGTTCATGGGTGCTTGTGCTATACTCTCTCCATGAAGTCCTGAGTCTACAGAAGCAGATTTCACTAAGTGGCCATGCCTGTTAAAAGAAGGGAAGCAGTGAAATGGGGGCATTATTTCTTCCTTCACTTGCATCTTACGGGTTTGAGCAGACGCTTCTCTTGTTTGCTTGTATTTTCCCTCTGATAAAACCAAGGACTCATTCCTAGGGCATTGGGACATCTTGGATGACAAATGTATAGACGGGTCTTTGATGGCAGTTTCACTCAGTGATATGCTTTGTTTATTTGATGTTAGTATTGAAGGCATCTGGATTGTAACAGATTTAAAGGAATTTGCATTTATTTCAGAATCAGGAACATGCCCATCTTTATCCAATCCTGAACTTGATTGTAATAGATTCAAAGAATCAGATTGACTATTTTTAACACAGGAAAAGGAAAAGCTGGAGCCTTGAAGACTGCAATTATTTGAAATAGCATCAATTTGTGGAGATGCAGTCATGCAGATACACTCATCTTTAGAGGCTATTGTATCCACATGCTTTAATGCATCCTTGAAAGTAGCATCTTGACATTCACTTTTAATTTTTGAAACTGAAATGGGCAAATCCAACTTTTTGTAAGGCTTCATTTTATACAATTTTCCTTCTACACATCCTGCTGTATCTTCTAAAACATCTCTTCTACACACATCTTTCCCCCCCTCCTTCTTCTCCTCCTCCTCTTCCTCTCAAAGGTTTTTCATGTTCTTTTCTACCCTGGCAACTTTGGCCGCTACTAAGTCTAATTAGAGGTGAAATGGAATTTTCCTCTGTAGAGAAAGAACCTCTGTTATTCCTTTCTGGAGCTGAAGTACTATCTTGCACCAAACAATCATCTTCTTTCTCTCGTTGTCCTCTTCTACTTTGCATTTCATTCTTTTTTTTTTTGTAAAAATTTTTATTTTCAACTTTACCATACATAACAATCTTACAAATACTTCAGATAAAAAATAAAACAAATTGATACACACCATATTCGGTCTTGCCCGCCCATTTCCCCCCAAACCGCATCCCACCTCAAACCAACTTACTTCTTTCCCTCTTTTTCTTCACTCACCCCCTCTCCTCCTTCACCTCCACCTGCCTACTTACTTCTCACCTTCTTCTTCTCCCTCTTGATGCGGTCCAGGGGAAACGCCCGAGCAGTTCCTCTCTCAAAATTAAATTATATACAATAAGACTATTTCTACTTTATCTGAACTACTTAAACTCAACCCATCCACGCCCCTCCCCCCCGACTTCCCAGAGCAAAATACAGGATTATGCAAACATATTAAACATAATCTATTTAAGTTTACTAATTATACAATAAACAAAATCATAACTCTCTTCAAACTTTAACATCATAAGTTTATAAACAAAATCATTACTCATAAAATAAGTAAAACTTTGTAATTCCATATTTCTTCTGAACATATTCTATCCATCTTCTCCATACGTTAAGATATCTCTCTTGTGAATGGTCCTTTAAATAAGCAGAAATTTTAGCCATTTCTGCTAAATTAGAAACCTTAAATACCCATTCTTCTAAAGAAGGCAGAGTATCCTTCTTCCAATATTGGCCCACCAGTAATCTTGCTGCTGTTATTAAATTCAACATTAAGATAGTTTCTTTAACATTAAAGTCCACGAAAATTCCTTTGCATTTCATTCTTATCCAGCACATATGCTGTTTTCCTGACAACATTTTCTGACTGTCCACTGTAAGTCTCACATGAAATATCATCTTCATTTATGGAATAAAAGATTTCCTCTCCCTGTAAAGTATTTTCTTCACTCAGGCTGGGCAATAATGAAACGGTGTTCTCTACAATTGATATATTAGGGACAGCCCTGTCTATTTGCGGTTGATAATCTTGAGTCATAAGTAGATATTCTTGCTTATGTTGTGAAAATTCTTGATAATCATGGGAATTGCAACTAACCCTCATTGGTTATAGGCAAAGGTAAAACCTGGAATGAAAATCAAAGAGTCTTAATAAATATTCAGATTTAGCAAAATCAATGTTATTTCACTGAAAACAAAATTGAATTAGTTTGGGCTGCAATTTCCATTTCCTTGGAATTAAATTCCAGTGGTTTCAATTGAACTGACACGTACAGAATGGTACAATTAGAATGACTCCAATTTATTGGATCTGACATCTTTAATATTTGTAGTCAGTTATATTCTAAGTAGCCACTATATTGGATTTTAAATTGTTTTTTTTCATAATTTATATCCTAGTTATTAATGGTATTAAGGTTCTTCTGAATATTCAAAAATGATTTTAATATTTTGTTAAGTTTTGGATAACACTATAACCTGCACAGAACATTTCAATTATTGGGCAGATTATAAGAATAATAAACTTAGCAATAGTTTATTTGTGCTAAATATTTCTCTACCCACCCACCCCTTTTTAACTTAATGGAATAGGACTGATATTATTTCACCATACAAAAACATACAGACACAGTACTAACAGACCAGTATGAAGAAAACTGTAGATAAGATTCATGCACAGGATACTAAGTGAGGTGCAGTCTGCTCAAGTTGCAGTTCCAGACCAGAACAGTAATTCCAGCACACTAGTTCACAAATTGAGACTCCAATCCAAAGGACCTCCAAAACTCAGTTTTATTAGAAAGTCTCAAAAAAATTGTTTGGCCCTCCAATTCTTTCTCCTCGTGGAGATTCTCAGAGTTTTTGTAGCTTTCTTATGCATAATTTTAAATGTGAAAAAAAGAGTTTAACATGCTATTTTCAGAAGGGAGATGAAAAACTTTTTTGCTTTGTTATTCTGTTATTCTGAGACAAACAATAGAAAGAATGAATGGAAAGAAAGGCAGAAAAAAGTGCAAGGGGGGCTTTATGAGGCTCAGCTCCCCCAACACTTGCAGTACTGCACTTCACATATACACTAAAAATCAATGTCACTCAGGAAAAAAATGAAGTAGTTGCCTACTGAAGAACCTTCAGGAAATAGGGCAAGGCATCTAGAATTTGAGTAAATTTTGTGTTGCAACTGATGAGAAAATTGTTGCTGAGTAACTATAGCCAGGGCTTTTTTTCCTCATAGAACGCCCAGAGCAGAGTTCCGGCACCGTTTTTGGATGGAACCTTGTAGGGTAGGCAAGGCGGGTTGTATGACGTGTGTGAGTTCCGGCACCTTTTTTTTTTTTTTTTTTTTTTTTAGAAAAAAAGCACTGACTATAGCTATAACGAAGTTACCAGGCAGATTAATATGGATTACCGGTAGTTACTATTAAATTTAAATTTTGGGTTAGGCAAAATAGCCCAGAAAAATTGCAGGCAACTGTTGAAACTCAAGACATATTGTATTATGAACACTGAAAATTTTGAACTCAAGAGTGTATTTTAGTAAAGACACACAGAATTAGATTTATTCTGAAAATAACAAGGCCTCTTAGAAATCAGCAGAAAGGTATCCCCCAAGCACTGAATATAGTTTTTAATTGATCTCAGCATCTGATTTCTAAGTTACCTGCAGAGGTAAGGGCTCCAAAGAATCTTCCAGAAATCCACTGCTGTCTGATTGACAGCTGCTTGTTCTCGTTGTTATTGCATCTATTGTTAAAAAAAAATGAATGGAATAGTTGAGAAGAAAATTAAGACTTTTTATTTTTGGTATTTGAGTATGCAGTACTTGTATAACAACCAAAAATCCTATATAGTTTCTTTTTTTCTTATTACTCCTAAAGTCAAAGTATGTTTCTTAGAAATCTCTTTCCTGCTAAAAAAAAGTCTTAGTCAAAAGTGTGTCCCCAAATCTTAAGGAATTATCTTGAAGAAACCAAAGGAGAGAGAAGATAAGATGGTGTAAACATTGCACAGTATTGACAGGGTAGGGCTGTATCCATTCAAGTTTCTCCCCACCTCATTTTGGCTCTACTGAGAAAGTAATAGAAGATGCTGCACAGTATATTTGGAGGAGTTATTTTGATGCAAGCTAAATCAGGCATGTAGATTGCATCGGTCTACTTAAATGGATACATTTTACTTGATATTTTTAAATTACAAACTTATATTGTTGGTATTTTTATTTCTCTCTCTGCTTTATCATGTTGATATGATTTCTTATTTATTCAGATAGACAAAAGCTGTAAAATAAAGATAATACTACTGTCATGCATTAAAGGAAAAATTGTAAAATCAAAGATTATAGTAGCACACAAGCCTTTATGTTCTGAAAAGCAAATAAAACAACTTATTCTATAAACAATGGAGATTAATCCCAAAGGCAAAACATTAACTAAGTGCAGTGATGAAATCTCATACACATTGACCTAGGAGTAAAATCATGTGGATCCTGAAAATAATATCTAATTTGCATAAATGAACTCCTAGTCAGCAAAATATTGTCTTACTGCAAAAAGAATTATTTATGTTGAAATCATGGATAGGCACTGTCTCATAAAGAAAATTTCTAAACTCAGTATAAAATAATCCCAGTCATTTATTCAGCACAGTTTCAGAACAGAACAGAAAAGAAAAATTTACAGATGTGGTAGCTGAAAACATTCATAAGCACAGCAACAGCCTCAGATGATAATAAAAACTATCATATCAATAGTCTTTCTTGCACATGCTTACTGCACATTCCTACTGTAAGTGGAGTATTGCAGGTTAATGGCCAGCAGATGGCAGAAAGAGACAAATATCCAATACAGAACACAAAATGCAGGAACAAAAAAGGTGAATTTGTGGAGGTTCTGGAACACTGGCCATTATTTTGCAATATTGTCATTTGAGTTGCCTGTAAATGTAACAACATGAACTTACTTCTTGGCATATGAAAAGAATCATATTGTAGATTGAAGCCTATTCATTCAAGGTCTCACTCTCTGAGTAAACATGCACTGTACACATGGTAAAGTTCAGAATAATGGAATAACAGAGTTGGAAGGGACCTTGGAGGTCTTCTAGTCCAACCCCCTACTCAAGCAAGAAACCCTATATCATTTCAGACAAATAGTTGTCCAAGCTCTTCTTACAGAGACAACGTTCAATCTTCAAGACATTGTCCTAACTGGTCCTGTTCTTATGACACATTCACAGTCCAAGTCAATTGATTCCTTTTACATGTGGTAGCCTACAGGGTTGTCACTGCTCAGAAGAAGCCTCCTGTTTCATAGAGCAACTCTGATCATACAAACCAGAAATTTTTTTTAATTTTTTTTTTTCATGCCATCTCCTGCCCAATGGAACAACCTTCCGTTTGAAATTCGGCAGGTCTCTACTCTCCTATCCTCCCAGAAAGCACTTAAGATCTGGATTTTCTCCAAGTGCTGGGAAAGGTTGAGGTTAAGATTTAATGAGGGACTACATGTGGAAACTTAATTCTGGTGCCAGGCTTTTAATGTTTTTGGTTTTAATAGATATATATGTTTTATTATTGAATAATATGGGCAGCCCTATAAACATTTAAAAATAACATAAGCAACAAAAGAAAAAAAAGAAATGCATGTTTAAGCTGAACATTAACTATATTCATCCACCCAGGATCACACATCAGAATTCATTCAACAACTCAAATGCAATACAAAATTTCAGAAGTTCTAAATCTGCCCAGAAGTCCAACATGTACAAACACATGCACAGATTGTAAAACAGACTCTAATGTTCAGTAAACCAACCCAGCCCATTAACACCGAATGATATGCCATTCACAGAATTTGCAATTCAGTTGTTTTTTAAAGGAAAAGTACAGATGGGAGGCATTTAATCTACACTGTGACTCTCAGATAGTGCCACTGAGAAGTTTAACCCTTGGATTACTGCGATACTGGGAATCCAAGACTTTTGTATGCACAGAGATGGAAAGGCCCACAGATCTACACAATAGAAGAATGGATGGTGAAATTAATGGAACTGGCTGAACTGACAGAACTAACCACTTTGGTTAAAGAAAATACTTTACCTAACTTCGTTTCTACATGGATACCACTTAGGGGCATTTTGCTTGAGACCAAAAGAAATGCTACATTGATGTTGGGTTTTGGCAATTGGAATTGTTTATGATTGTACAAATAGTCCTCAAATTACAATAGGTCACAGAGCAACCAGACAAAGTTATTACAGACTCCCAAAATGTACTTATGACCCGGTTCTGATGTCCCAATGGCTGACCCCACTCCATGGTCTCCTGACTGTATTTTGGCTGCCTGGCAGTTACAGACATTTGCAGCATTCCATAGTAATGATCTTGATTTACAATGTTTTTACCAATACTGTTGTTTACTTCCAGTTATTTCCACAAAAAACATCCCATATCCAACAAAGGGTTTGCTTAATGTCATGGTATTTGCTTAATGAGTACAACATTTGCTTTACCACCATTCCTTTTGCTTAATGACTCCTTCAAAAGAAAGTAATTAAAAATGGGGTCAGTCACATGATAACTCACTTTTACAATGGCCATGACTTACAGTCATAATTGGCAGGCTCTGTAATGGTTGCAAGTTGAGGATTACCTACATATTTGTAACAGTACAAAAAAAAAATTTGTAACAGTACAAATATTTTTTTAAAATTTTCTGAATGGTGCAGTGGCCTAGAGATGAAGATGCTCACCTCCCACTCAGAAGGCTGAGAGTTGAATCCTAGGCAGTGACAGACATTTCTCTATCAGGGTGCAAAGAGAAAATATCTGCTGTGAATTCTGTGTAGGTGTCAGGAAGGGCTGACACCCAGCCAGTAAACACTCAGCTCCATTCAGTTACCCCAACTCCACCCTGATAAAAAGGGATTACAGGATTGTAAAAAACCACTCTTTTTTATTTTCTCCCCTCTTTTCTCTTTATCCCTTGCACTTTGCCCCTCCCTACTTTTTCTTAGTTTTTTTTTATATTTTGTTCTCTGTAGAGATTTTTTTAAAAGTTTTTTTAAAAGAATAGAATATAACAGGGAGCAAAATTTTAAATCTCCACCAGGGTTCCATTCTGCTTTACATCTGATTGATTGATCAATTGATTGATTATGAGCCATCAAATCAGTGTTGACTATCAGTGATCACATAAATATTTTTTCTCTAGAATGATCTGTTTTTAACCTGGTCTTCAAGGTTTTCCAACAGTATACCCATTGCCACTGCTACTGACTCTAACTCCATCTTAGTTGGTCATTTTCTCCTTCTCTTCCCTTCTATTTTTTTACAGTACTAGAGTGTTCTCCGGAGAGCTAGGTTTTTGCATAATTTATCCAAAGTAGGAAAAATTGAACCTGCTCATTTGTGCCTCTGGGTTTATATGATCAATGTCTTTGTTTTCTTGGCTCTCCTTGGCATTCTCAAGAGTCTTTTCCAACACTAAAGATCAAAAGAGTCAATGCTTTTTCTATCTTACTTCTTTAAAACAACTTTTACTGCTCTTCAACTTTGTTTCTTTAAAGTGCATAGAGAATGCCATTATTTACCCTATTCCGATCCTTGTAGGTACAGACACATCATAGCATCTCAATATCATTTGCACGGTTTCTTAATGGTTGATCTCAAAAAACTGTTTGCCTCTTTGATATTTTCATTATCAATTCTGAGGCTGGTTGTTGTACCTATTGACAGTTTGGTCTTCTTTGTATGTAAGTTTAGTCCATTCTTTCCACTATGCTCCTTGACTGTATTAATAGGTCTAGCAGATCCTTTGCATTTTTGGCTAATGAAATAGTGTCATCAATATAGCACAGAATATTGATGTTTCTTCCTCCAATCTTAAAACATGCTCATCTTGTTCCAGTCCCAAGTTCCCACAAAATATATTGAGGATATAGGTTGAATAAATAAGGGAAGAATATATAGCCTTATCTTACTCCTTTGCCAAGCTGGATTTTTTTTGGGGGGGGGGGGACATATTCTGTCCATGTGGCTTCCTGATCTGTATGTACAATTAAGACATTTATATATTTGAATTTCTGTCACAGATTAGTGTCCAGTCTGAAAGGTTGCTCTGACCAAATCTTGTTTAAAGGAGTAGACCACTTGATATTCTGGAATGTTTCCTAGATCCCATGATATTTAGCAATTTGTCAAGGTGAGATTACCAATGCTTTGCACAAAATTTCATACGCAAGTTTCCTACACAAAACAAAATGTGCAATCTTGAAGATTGAACTCTTTTAACATGTCACAATTTCTTGAATTATTTGATACACAATTTTTCAAAGAGGATTGTTGGCTCTGGTGTAACTAACTGTTTACATAAAAGTTCTCTAAATACCATTCTTTTTATAGCTTCTGCTATAGCTTCTGTTATTAACGATAAGCCTCCTCCCTCTATTCACTCATATTGAAGTCAAGATAGCACTTCTTCACTGTTACAAGGGTGTAGCACTATGGATAAAACTGAAGGTTTTATCAGCTGATCAATGACTCCCATAGATTCTAACTTCTAGCAAAAATGACAGAAATAAGCCCATCTTTGAGTCACATAAAAATAATTGCCAGTCTTAGAATAAAATAAGATTAATAAAAGCATCACAAGATGCCAATTCACCTTAACAATGACCTTTGACCTCTTTCCTTCCCTAAGGAATGATATATCTCTGCCAGATTCTAGAATGTCCTTCCTTCCCAG